ATTTTGTATTGTGTATATGATGTGTATATATATGTTGTTGTAGTCTGTTGGCTACAGACTACAAGCTCCTCAATGGGCAGGGGCGCCACTCCCTGTCCGCCAGCTGGGTGGCGGTGAGTACCCGTGACTCTTGTTTGGGGTTACAAGGTGTGAATGGCATTTTTAAATGCCTGCAGTGACTTTGCTTTCACCACACTATCTGGTAGGCGGTTCCATTCTCTAACAGTTTTAGAGAAGAAGGAATTTAAGTGATAGTCAGCTCGTGAGCTTGGAGGGTGGAGGGCTAAGCTGTTTTCAGTGCGAGAGGGAGCTCGTAGCCCCTTGCTTGCTAGCGGCATGTGCATAGCTACAATGTTATTTGTGATCTTGTAAAACATCTGTAAGCGGGCGTTTCGCCTCCTTTCTACGAGCAAAGGCCAGTCAAGTGTGACTAACATGTTAGACACACTAGACTGCCGTCTGTAGCGGCGGAGGGCAAAACGCGCCGCCCTTCTTTGGACAGCCTCCAGGTTCCTTATATTACTCTGGGTATAAGGATCCCATACCGTCTGACAATACTCAAGTATAGGGCGCACTAGGGTTTTGTAAGCCCGGGCCTGTGGATTTGCAATGTTAATATTGCGTCTCAGGAAATTAACGGTATTGTTGGCTTTTGAGGATACGTGATCTATATGAAGGTCCCATCGTAAATCTCCAGATATAAGGACACCAAGATATTTGACAAAGCTGACATGTTTGAGAATATGCCCATGCAGGGAGTAGTCGTAGACAATGGGAGCTCTCTTTCTAGTGATGCTGAGCACTTCACACTTGTCAGGGTGGAACTCCATAGCCCACTTTTCCCCCCACTCTGCCAAAGTATCAAGGTCGTTCTGGAGTTTCAGTGAATCACCCTGGCATGAGACCGTCATGTAAATCATGGTATCGTCCGCAAATAAGCGAGCTGTAGAGTGTAAGTTTTCAGTGATATCATTTATGTAATACAAAAACAGGCAAGGTCCGAGCACCGAGCCCTGTGGGACCCCTGAAATGACATCCAATTTGCTAGAAGTCACCCCCTCGATGACCACTGACTGGGTACGACAATGGAGGAAGTCTTCTATCCAGTTCCTGGTCTGAGGTTCAATGCCGTACCACTGAAGCTTCCGAATGAGTCGTTTGTGGCCTACCTTATCGAAGGCTTTAGAGAAGTCAAGCACACAGACATCTGTCTGGAGACCTTCCTGCATGTTGTTTACAATGTCATGAACAAGTTCCAGAAGCTGTGTCTCACATGACCTTCCGGGTCGAAAACCGTTTTGTAGCTGATAGAAGAGATCATGCTGTTCCGCATGCTTCATCAGGCTACTACAAATAACATGTTCCATTAACTTAGAAGCAATACAGGTTAAGCTAATAGGTCTGTAGTTTGCTTTATCGTACCTTTGGCCTTTTTTAAAGATCGGAGTCACGTTTAATTTAACATTCCAACACTGGGGCAAACACCACGTGGCAACAAAGAAAGGGATTTCTTTTTCTTGCACAAGTATCAACTTATATTTCATGTTTTTTTAACAAAACAAGTCGAGTACATGCAACATGGTTCACACACACATAATGAAGAGTAAATATTCAACAAGACAAGGCAGAAATGAACTCGTATTAGCCCGCCGTCAACAACAACAACAACAACAACGAATTACACGGTGAAATTACTAATAAACTTTACATGCCATAGCTTGCCATGCCCCAACTAATCGTTGGGAAACTATTTTGACCAAAAAATCGTTGTTTTACCTTGTTTGAACGAGTCTCTACATGCAGTTTCGCCATTTTGTTGTCTCTCCAAAATACAAGGACGAGTTTTCGAACACCACGCCGGCCGACCGTTCGTCAATTTCGCCTACAGCTTCTCTCGACCCTAGAGTTGCACAGAAACAAACGTCAACTTCTATTTCCAAAGCTATGAAAAACGCCCCTGAAATCCGCAATGCTAAACCCACAGCTTACTGTTCAACACTAAACTGAAGCACTGCGGACCACGCCGCATTTTGGCGGGAAAACCGCACGATTGTAATTAAGCCCACGTGCGCGGAACATTCCAACAGGTGGGGCCAACACCACGTGGCGACAAACAAAGAAATCCTTTTTCTTGCACAAATATCAACTAATATTTCGTGTTTTTAACAAAACACGCCAAGTACATGGTTCACATGGTTCACACACAAGAAGAATAAATATTCAAATCTTCAACAAGACAAGGTAGAAATATCTCAATAGTATAGGGTTAGTGCGCTCTCAACTCGAAACCCCCCCCCCCCAGCATTCGACGAATTACACGGTGGAATTACTCATAAACTATACAGGCCATAGCTTGCCATGCTCTAACTAGTCGTTGGAAAGTTATTCCGAAGAAAAAGTCGTTGTTTTACCTTGTATGAGCGAGTTTCCGTGCGGCCAAATTCCAGTCTCGCCATTTTGTTCTCCGTCCAAAATTCATCTGGTCAGGAAACCCGAATTTTCTCCTCAGAACATCCAGAAAACGGCATGAATTCACCACAGAAACTTCCCTGCGGTTGCTGCACACATTAAAACAAGAAACTCCTGAAGAAGAAACGTAAAATTCTCCAGAAAAGTTGCAAAAAAAGTATCGGAAACCCCCACGCACGACGTGACAACTGGCAACGGCAACAGACTGACCTGAAGCGGAGCGTACCAACTGTGACTTTCAAACAGGGGTGCAAAACGGCCTAGATTTTGGTTGGTTGGTTGTTTGTTTACTCCCAGCCACGCCGGACCGCCTCCATCTTATCAGGGGAAGAAACCCCCCATCAAAAATGACGACGCTCGCCCCACGTGTTTCGGACTTGGGTGTCTGTGGGAAGCCCAGCGATTACATGCATAGCGCCTCACACAGCAAGTCTCTGGTGTTCAATGGTTACAATCTTCCCGCCATACCGGTGGGCAATTTCTGTGGGGTTTGCGTACGCGGCTGGTTTACAAACATACGTCGTGAAACAAACTTATATATATCCCGGCCCTCCCGTGTTCACAGCGTTTGTGGTTTTATAGACACACCACATTTTCCTTCTCATAAACTAGGAAGAAAAGCTTCCATAAGCTGGTCACTTATGGTGCATAGCTGTAGAATGTCTGCAAACTTCTTCCTTTGGTCCTATCTCGACAAGATTGAAATTTCACCATTTTTCAGACTTCTTCGAAAGCAAAAAAAAAAAAAGACCTCAAGACATGCATTGTGGGAATATGGCCAACTAATTAACGAAACTTACAAATGCAATTTAAACCAGCCAATCAACAATGACTTATAAGCACTGTAATGTTAATTAGCAAATTCTGGGGTCGTCCAAGAGGTCCCGGGTTCGAACCCTGCCATGCCACCGATCTTGTGCCCTTGGGAAAGACACTTTACATGTCTGACTTTCCTCACATCGCTCAAGTGAAAACGACTACAGTAGCTGTATTGTCCTCTATGTTGATGGCAGCACCACTTCCGGCTGTTGTAACTTCTGTTCTGAACATGCTATGGTCATAATTTTCACTTTTAAAAAGCTTTTTGGGCTAAGGAATTCGAAGAAGAGACATATGTATGGTCCCCCTAGCAGCTTTCATTGGAAATGCAACAGATTTTAATGACTTTCAACTGGTTGATAATCTAGAAACCGAATGGCACATTAATTATGCTAATTTGGGCCTTATTTGCATAAGTGATGAATCAAGTTTATATTTGCTGACTAATACATCATAGGACTTTCTAACGAATGACATATGTAACCTGGATGAATAGAAAATGATTGGATATGAAGCATACAAATCAAGACCTCGTTTGTATTAATCAATGGTGAATTTCTGCATCTAGAGCAGGGACACCTTTGCTGTGCAATGTGAACCAGTCTGCATTGCCATCAGAATAAAATGACAGCCAATACCTTGCCTGAATAAAACACTTGGTTGTGTAAAAAAAGAGTCTCTTCATTCATTGTCTGTAGTCTGCTGTTCAGTCATGTCCTTGTAGCTTTGACTTCATTGGGATCCACAATTTAGCTACCTGTAGTTCTTATTGCCCATGTGGATGGCATTCAGCACCAAGGAGAGGTCCCTCATTATAAAAACAAAGTGGTCTGGAAAGCTGAACTAATGACAGAATACAAAAGAATAAATTCTATAGTTTTCTTCTTTCATATCTTTGACTTTGCATGACTCAAGGCTTGAAGTACATTTTTCACTGTCTTGTTGTATAGAGAAAGGACAAGTAAAAAAGACATGGAAACTTTTGTTTTGATGGTGTGGCTTTATTTTAAAAATACAAATGACACACACACACACACACACACACACACACACACACACACACAAAGAACGTACAAAGAATGCAAGTCTTTGAACAAACATCACACACATATATAATTCTGTTTCAAAGATCTGATGCTCAAGGTAGCCAAAAAGTGTAAACTTTGTGATGTTTGGTTTCTTTCACACACAAAAAATTACAACAGTACAACAGAATTACTATCATTGCACCAGTTGTAACAATAATGTTTTAAGTATGACAATATATCCATATGTACTGTAACATACATAATCTAAAAGTTTATATATATAATTTTAAATTTACACTTTATTCCATATAAGCGTATATAAGACAGAAAGACTGCTTTTTCAGTCTCTCCAATAGAACTCCTTGATTTCAGATAGATTCCGATTATATCAAATATCTCAAATATCTTGATTGATTGATAGAGCTGCCCTTTGATGTAACACAACAGTATTGCCTTAATTTATTTAAAATTGTGCACTGTATGAATAATTTTAAACATGTTGGCAAGAGACTTTATAAGAAGGTTTCAGTGACTGCATTTGTAACATTGCAGCAGCGACACCTAGCTGCAGTTTGAATCATTGCCCTCAAAAAGGTGACAGATGGTCACCAAAACGTGAGATATAAAATTGTACAGATTTTTCTAGACTATGTAAGGATGGGATGGTTGAAATGCAAACTATGGCAGTATAACAGCTGGGCTTTTTAATGCAATACTTCATTATTTTCTGCATTCTGGAACAGTGCATACTGCCACATCAACAGCCTAGCTATATTACGAATTCCTTTCACACTACAAAACTTCACTGAAGATTGCAGGATACAGGGTAATGGAACATACACTATATAGTTTGTATCTTCTATAGCTTGTCGGCAATATCATCAAAGGATTAGAAAGCAAAGCCTTAATGGACAGTGATTCAGTGGCTGAGCAAAAACTGGCTAGTTGTGCCATCCAGCGAATGGGTCTTTCCTAGGGACTCGTCTACAAGGATTTGGGACTGAGAATGTGGGCTTCAACAGGATTTGTTGAGACTTGGTTCACATATCCATCTAAATTGGATGTCAGGAAAGATTACTCTTCATACTAAATCCTTACAAATTAGATTTGTTTGTAAAGGTCCTTGCATGCAGAAATTGGTGGCAAATTCCACACAAAATCTGCATGTGCTTTTGACAGTATGTGATTGGTCTTTCAGTGTAAGATAGCAGCATTACAACATTTCTTTACAGATACAAGCAAACATGTACAAGACAGAGGGTCACGGCGTAGCATTTTCCATTCAATTATTCAGCTCACAAATACAGTCTGATCGCATATCAATATTCAGTGCAATTATTAAGTTATTCCTCCTGCTCTGGGGTCGTAAATCTGCAAGTAAATTTTGATTTGTCTAGTGACATCTTAAGAATCATCTCACACCCGTCACATTGTAGCAGATTTAACATCATTCCTCCTGATTGTCCTCTGAGTCCTTCCTGCCTTTTATCATTATGGATAGGATGTAAGGACAGATTACAGTGCTCAAGCACTATGTGCAGGTAAAATTGGATCTGCGGAGGTTTGCTTTCATACCTGCACTAATGTAGATATGTAATTAAAAAATGATTCTAATCATCATTTATGATGCATGGTTGAAACACAACACTCTTCTTGCCTCATCATTATCATCTAATCTCCAAGCAGAAGTCTGGTGGCGGCAAAAGGGTTAGAACTGACTATCAAGAGAGAGTCCTCAGCTGCCAGTAACTGTCTGGCAAATGGATAATGCCTGGCCAATTTGATACTGTCTTTGTGGCCACCAAAAGATCTGCTTGGAGATTATCACCATTATCATCATTCTTCATTTGAAAGGTGAAGCTGTCACCAACCTTAATCACTTGTAAGAAGAAAGAAACAAGCTAGGCAGATCTTCTGATTACAGTTACTTTGGGGTATGAGTTAAACTCTCTGAGCAATGGGGACTCCTGGCATCTTCTAGTGACACAGACTCTTTTTACAGAGAAGTGAGATTCTCAACACAGAAGATGTAGGTGGTTTAAGTCAGAAGCCCCGGGCCTGTACTCTGGGATTGGGACCCACTCTCCCCATTTGACCACCCTTAGTGTATGTATGTACATATACGTGACCTATGTGTATACAGTGCTGTATATTGTACATACGATATTGGGCTTGTGGTAGTATATATTTCAGTACTGTCACTCAGTATGGATCATCAACTAGGATGCTAACACATGCTCATCTTTTTCCTGTGCTTTTTCTCTACTCTCTTCTGCCTCTGCTTCTTCTTTCTCCTCTTTGGTTTCTGCATTTTGCTCTGCCTTGGGCTCTTCTGTTTCTTCCTGCGTCTCTGTTTTGCTTTCCTCCTCACGATTCTCTTCCCCTCCCTCCATCTCTTGCTGATACTCCTCGGCCATCCTCCTCTGTTTCTCTGCCTCCAGTTTGTCGTTGAAGAGGCAGAGTTGTTTGAGGAAGCCTGTGTTGGGACCGATCTCGCGCTTCTGTCGGATGGTGATGAGGGCGTCCTCCACGTTGTGTTCCTTGTAGATCATGAGGTACGCCATGACCAGAGATGGGGAGCGGGAGTAACCCTCGCGGCAGTGGACCAGGATCTTTCCTGAAAAAAAAACCATAAAGGTATTGTTACAGTTACAGCAGCAATCGTAGGCATCCTTCCTTCATGAAAGATTACAGCAGCACTCTCTAGGTCTGGTGTTGTGTCCATGTACAGCATCTAGTGTGGCGTACACTTTTACAGTAATAGTCTAATATACTCAAAAAGTCTAGCACATGCTAATTTCCCTCCCAGTTTAAATTGTTTTAATGTTCTTACATCTACAAATGTGCAACAAATGAAAAACGAAAAATCAGTATGAGCCAGACTGTAAAATTGCCAAAATTCAAAGAAGATTTTGCACAGAGAGCTTTCCTAAATACTGTCTGCACTCAAGTAATCTTCATCATAAAATCATTCAAAATGGCTTCATTAAATACTAAGACAAAAGGAAAATGTCACATTTAGTTATACCAATTGATTGAAAAGTGAGTCTAACCTCCTTCCTCGTCCACTGCCTTGTGGATGTACTTGGCAGCTTCCTCAAAGTGCTGCATGAGGTTGTACTGCTCGAAGTCGCTGGCACGCACGCCGTGGTAGTCTATCCCAACGTCCTCGTAAAACTCCGGCCCTGTCTGCACGTGCATGAAGGGGGACTTGCCCTCCGCTGCGTTCAGCACGTGGGTGACTCCCAGACCTCTCAGCCGGTGGACGTTACGGGCACTGCTCCTGTGGGGGGGGGGAATAGAATAGCTTTCCGCTTCATTGCAAGTTCATGCCGGAAGGCTAATTGCAAAACGGACTGACAAGAACAATGTGTGCAGAATGTATTGAGGAGTTGTATAAAACCATATACCAAACATGAAGTTCTACTACGTTCTACGTAATAATCTAACTTTCTATCTCTACTTAAAACTAATATCAAGTTAAATGTATGTATACTTGACAGAGAGTGGATATATGTAATACAGAAATAGGTTTAAGAGAAACAAGGCAACTACTATGTATTATGTGACAACACCCTACATTTGGGACCGCAAATTTTGTAATACTGCAGCTGCTGTGACACATACATGTAGTTTGACCTGAGTCAGCTTACAGATGTGCCCTATGTGGCAGAGACTGTCATTCTCATATACCGGTAGGACTGTTCAGCCATAGCCAAAACTGTTAAGGGCTAAAATCAATCTGGATTTTATCACGGTCAATATTGAATGAAGGAGGTCATATATTGACACCTGTAGCTGCAGTAAGAATCAGAACCAGTTAAGAAGGTGATGACAAAATATTGGATGTAAAAAACCACTGGTTGCTGGTGTGCTGCATCAAATAAATGTGGGGAGTACACTATTGCATATTCACCAACACTAGCACCCTATACCAAAATATTTTCAGCCAAACAACAATCAGTACGCTATAATAGTTCCATGTCTCCTTTACAGTATCAGTCTGTCTGCTTCATCCTAATTGCCACAGAAAAGCTCCATCAGTCTCCTGTATTCCCCCGGGTGCCGGGTTATAGCAGCCTTTCAGATCCATCTAGCCAGCAGAATTACCCCGTGTTTCAGATGCAATTAGGTTAAGTATTAGGCCATTACCAAGGGCAAGAGTAATACTGCTAGCCAGCCCAGGATAATGAGCCAATTTATTTGCTGCAATCAAAGTTGAAGGTTGAAGATTGCAGGGCTTGGATTACTTCTTTTCTGTGTACCTGTACTGGTGCACATTTGAAAATTGCCTGCACCAGACAAATTTTACCTGCATCACTTAGACACAGAAGTATGGATCATACTAAAACTGTTCAGCAACCATTGTCATTATTTTTTAATACTTCATATAGATGGTGACAGTGAATGCATCAAAAAGAAAATCCATTATACACCTACACAGTTTAGGTGCAGGTAGACATCAGAAATACCTGCACAGCTCCAATATTTCCTGAGCTAAGATGCATATACAGCCAGTATTTCTAGCCCTAGGGTTGGGATGTTACGTACATGTATACCCAGCATGGTGTGATAAATTGAATACAGAAATGCAAGTATCCACAGGAAACTTGATTGTCACTTGATTGTCATGCATGAGAGCTACTGGGTGGCATCTTGTGAATAATTTCATCAGTCTTTCACAGCACTACAGCAGGCAGCAAACTGACTACTAAAACATTGGCAAGAACTTTCAATACAGGAAATGCCAAACTGGATAACATCATATTTAATAATCATAATATAGTGACAATTGTAACAGATTATTAGGTACAGCGCAATACAAGTTGAATAAGAGCAAATCAAAAATATGACAAGCTATGATATTAGCTGACAGCTTCCCATGTTTTAGAAAGTCATGACATTCACTTGACAATTGAAGATGCCAGAAGGAAAAGACAATTGAGAGATTTTTCATGAATCACTGATTGTGCCAGACATTTTACAGCTATTACATTACACCCAGCCTGTGAACAGTGTGATATGCTATACACAGAAGATGAGCTGTAAGATACTGTAACTGAAGATTGACACTCTCAATTATGTTCACCCTCTGACATCTGAAGGACAGATGAACCTCAAGGGTAAAACTTAAACAAACTTAAAAGTACTCCCCCGTATTGTATTTTTAATATATCAACATTGTAGATTTCATATCACAGAAAACAGGAAGACAATATTTTGAGGCCTGCACAGTCTGAATGGGTGACCCTGTATGCAGTAATTGTGCCGTCAATGATTCCTCTGCTATTTCAATATTATTATCTTTCTCACAGGTCACCAAATTACAGGCTCAAATCTTGAGCTCTTCAGACAAATTATATGTCATTTTGGCACACTCCCCACAAAAGGACAAAGCCATAAGCAGAAATTATTATTTCTATTGATTATTTCAACCTCCCTGGGAGTTTGTAGGGAAAAGGATGGAGTTAAATTTGACACGAGAGAAATCTTTGGTACCAATTGGTTTTGGGGATTATCGTGAGTTTTCACTGCAGTGATTCATCAATACTTTTGCAATGAATGAATTTTTTGTCTCATGTCCTCTATATAATAATAATCATATCTGGAAAAGAGTCAGTCTGTCTTCTCTAACAAAATTTTGTGCATAAAAATTGCCTCTGCTCCTACATCGATTTTCCTTATGATTTCATTACATTTTTTCTTAGTCAAAGTGCAGTTGACTGTGCTGCTTTCAAACTTACTCACATCTAGCTTGATAGTGACATACAATGTATGATTTTAGGCAGCATAAATCAAATCATAATAATACAATTTTTAACAGAAGAGGCATGCAAATAAATAGACTGGCTATTGACAAAATTTGCATGAATGCTCTGAATCCCTTATGGTACAAGTCTACATATAAGTCTAACTTGTGAATAAAACGTTTGCAAAATATTTGACTTTCAGGTAAATCTGGTCTTCCAAAGTCCCTCTGGTTATTTTTTTAACTCCAAGTTAGCAGAACCTGAAGTGACTGTCTTGCATCAATTAAGGTTAGGCATCTAGGGTATGAGATACAGAAGGAAATTGTTACTCAAACAACTGGATAGATTTGAAAAACTGGTCACAGACAATAAGCAGTGGATGCTACTTTATTTGACTGACAGTTTTCAAATTCTATTCAGTTGCTTGAGTATAACTGTTTCCTTGTGACTGTGTTGCAGAAAACACACCAGTGCAACATTTGTTCTACAGAAAGTAGGCCATCCTGCCTGTCCTCCCACCTTTAACCATTTGTCACTCCTTGCATGGCCAGTCACACAAATTGGCCATTTGAATCCAACTCACACAAGTGGTCCAATTACTGCTCTATGTACATTAAGGGCAGCTTGATGGACTGATCTTATCTCACTGTAAATGACAACTATTTGTCACTCATGCCCATCCATTGCTAATTATGCACAACAGTATGGGGAGGGAGGAAAATACCACTTGATAAATTTTCTAAATTTTCAGTAAATTCCCGATTAAAGTATACATCTCAATTAAAGTTTGCACCCCTTTTAGATGCTAGACCCTTTTGCTACCATCCACACACAACGTGCCTGTCCTTGGTGCTGAACACCATCCACATACAAATATGTCTGTCCTTGGTGCTGAACACCATCCACATGCAAACATGCCGGTCTTTGGTGCTGAACATCATCCACCCACAAACATGTCTGTCCTTGGTGCTGAACACCATCCACACACCAACATGCATCTTCTTGGTGTTGAACACACATATTGTCAAATATACTTGTCCTTGGTGCTGAAAACTGTTAGATGCAGTCAATCTAATGTAAAATTAACAGCTTTTAAGCCTCTTCAACACAATTTCTAAGATGATGTATAAATAGAATGTCTCAGGTATACATTTTCATCTCTTCAGCTGCAAAATCATCTGTTGCAACAAAACAAAATCAGTGTCCATAACTCAAAGTCTTAACCATTCCCAGGTCAAAAAGGGTAAACAGTAGTGAAGTATAGGAAAGTGAGACAAATGACTCTCAGCTTCTTTGTTACCCTTTTTAGCCCAGCCATTTAAGCAACCAATGACCCTATCTATCTCTCTTTAACATGGCTTGTCTGTACGTCTGAGAATACTGATGACTAAGAAAAGTCATCCTCAGGGTTGCAAGGTAGTTAAGATGTGAGACAAGATAACTATCAATCAGTCTCACTTCAATTTGCTGCATTTTAATTGTCTGCTATTGTCTAGGGTAGTTTCTAGAAGATTGGTTATAGACAAGCCAAGAATGCTAATGAGGTTTAAGAGAACAAGAAGGTTGCAATTATAGTTAAGATGTGAAAGAAGAGAATTATCAATCTTAATATCAACCTCTTACTTTAATTGCTTTGCTTTTGCTATTGTCTAGGGTAGTTTCTACAAGATTGGCTAGCCAAGAAAGTTTGGGAGGCAGCATTGCAAATTCTACACTAGGGGAATCAACAAAATCTACAACAACAAAGCTGGTGGAAAATTAACAGAGATTGAACAGAACCATACAGAATACTGATAAGGAAGGGAAGAAAAAATTTGCAAGCTTTGCACTTACATGTACTACTAATACCTGTTGACAAGGACAATATCATTTTTGACATTCCAAGAATGTAATAACTTCTGTATAATCTATCATGACAGTGCTCCCAGAGAAAGCAATAGTAAAAGATTAACATGACCAACAAAAAAACTTTTCCATACTTTTTGCACAGATCTATCTTTATAAAGTGCTGTCAAAATGACAAATAAGAATGTTCAGCAAATCTACACACTAATACTGCAAAAGGAGCTGGGGCAAATGATTATATGAGTTGAAAAATTCTACCTGTCCTGTGTGATTATTTTGTTCTTATATTTTCCAGGATCTCTGACCTTACTAAACTCCTGCTGTACATCAGCCTATCCGAGCACCCATCATAACCTATCAGCCTAGCCATCACACTTTCATTACTGTAGGTTTAACCAGGCCATCCCAGAGGTCAGCAGTATCTATTCCCCATCACATTCAATCAAAGGCCATGCCCATGGGAGGTTAGGGTGAGAAGTGAGAAGGTCTCAGGGCGTGCGAATGAACACAGAATATGTAAGCATCAATGTTCCCTTTTTGCTATATGAGTTCATATGTTAAAAGTTGAAAATTTGATCAATATTTCCCATCTCTTTCTTCTTTAAGTTTATAACATATCCAGTGTATTAAGACCCCAATTATCATGCAATCTAAACATTATCATACTGTGTCTTTATTTGTGATACGAAATATAGTTCATAACTGTAACAGGATCTTGATACTGTAACTAAAATAAGGCTAATGGCTTCTTTTCCACCACTGCTACATTTCCTCTGTTCATGTTATTTTTCTGTATTCTGTTTTATACATGTATTAAATTTTGTAATATATTTCCTTTATTCTCGGGAGGTTAGGGTGAGAAGGCCTGAAGGCATTAGATGAACAGAATAAAGCATCAACCTTGTCAGATGCACGCAAAGGTCTGAAAAGTCAGTAAGCAATCTTCAGTGTCTGACATAAAGGCTGGATGTGAAGGAGAATGTAATAAGTTAAAACTCTTGTCTGCCTTGGGGATGTCTGTTTCTTTTAACAAAGTTATTAAATTTTGCTTCAGGAATAAAATGTGCAGACATCATATAACACTAACATTTAGAAAAGCTTTAGAACCTGTCAGCAAGAAAAGCTTTTGACATCTTCAAATCTTGTAGGGGTCTGATCATAAACTTCACTGTTCTTGCAGAGATGCTAAACCTTTGTATTAACTTCTGATATAACCAAATACCAGCCTTGAGGTACAGTCAAGAGGCTATTTTTATTACCATTCAATGCTGTTTGCTCCTAGCATGATTTAGACTAGCAATTGATTTAATTTGTGATAAAACTATTGTATGCCATATATTAGTAAAGGAAGGAGAGAAATTGCAATAAGTACAATGTACTGCAGGAAGAAGGTTCAAGATTCCATGAAGAAAAAAGAACAAATATCAAGTTTGAGGTTTACTTACTCGTCTCCGACAAAGATGTTCTTGTAGACCTCGTTGTAAGACTTGGATGGGACCACGTACTGTCCATGGCTGTACGCAAACAGCACATCCTTCAGCTGAGACACGGAAAATGTCTTAGGGACGCAGTCTTCATAATCCTCCTCCATTCCTGAACAAAAACAGAAGTGTAAGAAAAATATTTTTATAGAAAAGTAAAGCTCACCTGTGTCAATAGATAAAGACCATACAGTTGAAATTGTGTATACAGTGCATGTAGTTAGTAAATTTATGAAAAATTGTACCAATCCCCCTTCTTTAGTGGTAAAATTACAAAACTGCTGCAAGCTATATATTACATATTATACAAATCTAAATTGCAGAAAAACAGCAACTACAGTACAAGTATATGCAGAACTCAGCAGTAGTTGTTGTTGTGTTAGAGGAAAAACACAAGGGAACTACTGGAGTCTAAGGTTTCTGACTTCTGAACTGAACATTGAAATTTGATTAATATCAATATAGCAAAGATGTCTAATTCATTTTATGTCACATAATACCACTACTTTGTGGTAGATTAAATGACTATAGTCTGTGTAATAAAATTTGTTTTTAACACTTTATTGATTAAGCTGCATGGGAGCATACAGGCTGGCCTGCCCAACTAGCCAGTGGGTATTATTATAAAGGGCTAGCCCAGGTGACAAAGTCAATGTAGATAGATTATACAAAATGGACACTCATTCCCTGAAGGCAAAACGTTTAAGATTATGCATGCTTTTTTTGGAACATCTCCATCCATCCCAAGATAATGCATGCAAATTCACACATAACTCTTGGAGCATTGTAAGGGTGGCAGACTTTAAGGCAAGGTGTTTTGTAGAGATAAGGGAAAAGGTTTCAAACCATGAAGAATGACTCAATATATTCTGTACAGCATGATTTACAAGTCTAGAGGTACCAAACTGCCAACCCAAGTAAGGACATTTTCTATATTATACATTGTGGCTGATCACGAGTAAGGTTTGTCAAAAAAACTAGAAGGCAGCCTTGTCATGGAATTATCTATTAGTAAATAAAGTTGAAATATGACTTTAGTCAAAGAAGGACTAACAAAAGTAATGAACCCTTCCCCCATCAATAGACAGAATTTCAATCAATCAATCAATCAATTTAAAATCAGCATGAAAAATTTACAGCATTTTGATAAAAGAATCCAGCAATTTTTGGTACTGGAACACACATCAGAAGTCATAGACTTGTCCAGAGTTCAAATTTCAACAGAAAGTCCTGTGAGAACTAATCAGCTCCTTGTATGCAGGAGCCCACTCCAGATGCAGAGTTCCCATGGGTGATGTCCTTGGTGCTGAAGTATGGGAGGAATGCTAAACTTGCACCATGTGTGATTATACATAAATACTGGGCAGAAACTGCATGCACAGTCAGGGTCAGAGTCAACCCTGTGGCACAGAGTAGAGTGTTAACTTTCAGAACTGTGAATCAGACCAGTAACTACATAGTTACTGTCCTCAAACTGGGTAAGAGGGAAGCAGGCCAGGCATATTGAAGCCTTCGTAAGACATATAAATCTTTCTGTTGTGATTTTCCCCATTGAAAATAAGTTGCATTTTTTGTACTTAAGTCAAGAATTACTTCAAGTATTCTGAAGTTAAAAGATGCAAGGCCAGGCCATGTACATACATATATTGCAGCTTTAAAAAAAAAAGATCATCATATTACTGTTCTTGGTTGTACCTAAGTTTTTCAACATTAAGTTACAGTAGACAGATCCTGTAGCCCAGCTATAACATCCATCAAGACATGGAAGTACAAATTAAAAGAAAAACGTAGAGGTGCAAAGATTTGGCTGGTCTACAACTGCTTCCTTGTTAGCCTAACTGCTAATTTTGTTGAACAGCTGGAATCGATCTGTGAGTGCCTACTCTAGCCTGAAATTCCTTGTACACTGACTAAACCTCTGAGTCAACAGTGATTGAGTTGACTTTTACAGCAATGTGAGATGTGCTTTGATGTTGCTACAGTCTTCCAACATAGCTGAAATAGAATATACAATTTTCACATCAGAGGAGCTGATTCTTTTCAAAATAGTTCAGAACAATCAGTATTAAAAATAGAGTCTATGAAATTATAATGTAATTAGAATATGTTCGTGATGGGTGAAATCATACACAAAATCTAATGGTGCCAAATTAAGCTTTCATATTACTCTGATTGGTATGCAGATTATCAACACTTAATGAAATTAAATGTTCCGATGCAACGATAAGTCTGGAATGCTAATGTCATTAGGTGCTCTCTTCTGGACATGTATTACTGGTACACTTTAAGCTTACATGTATTTTCGACAACAGTTTTGTTTACTGAAAAACAAAATTGTGAAGGCACCAAGAATAACACACATAAGCATGATGTAATCATTTCGTCAACACACACTTACAGTGGCACCTACTATATACGGTAATCTAAACAGGGCGTGGACTTGAAAGTGATCCCATAGTGTCCCGAGGGAGGTCACAAGTCCAAGGGCAGGGACCATTCCACATGTGTGTGTCATGTACTAATCTGGGACATCAACTTATTTGCTTAACTTTGGCCAATCACGTATAGCTACAGTAAAACTGTGAATAGTTTCATCAGGTTGGTAAGTCACTGAATAAAGAGACTCTGTTTTACACAACCAAGAGGTTTATTCAGCTGACATTTCAGTGTGACATGACAGGTCACCAAAACTTTGGCTGAAGAAACCTCCTCTGTAAAAAAGAGTCTCTTTTTTCAGCTACAGCAAAAGTTCAGACCAAATTCAAGGACAAAGTATCATTCACACAAATACCAAAAATTCCACAGTAACTTATTTTTGTTTGTCTTATAAGCCAAAATAGAACACTATCTCTGACCAGCACCCAATGGCCAGCCTTTGAACTAGCCATCAAAGATGATCTGATAGACCTTGAGTGTCTATAAAAGTGACCTTGTCGTAACTCTTCCATGCCTTGTTAATCTTTGACCTTAAGCTGCTTTCTGAGGTGACCATCATAAATCTGATGAATAAATGTGGAGTAACAATTACAGATTAACTGTCCTGTAAACTTAGTTAGTATTGTAGCAGTCTCACAATTTATTATTACACTGTTTGCAGGTATCGTAAGAGTATACATGTAACAGTAATTGCATTAAAACCATTTTTATTCAAGATCAGACTTCTCAACCTCAAAGTGCTTGTAGAAGCTGACTATCTCTCACAGCTTGACAGTTAGAAGTTACAATCTAGTGCTAAATGCCTGTAAAATCCAGTTAATAGAAGCTTAATATACATGTACTATGTGTAACATATAACTTGTGGGCTGGAGCAAAATAATAGCAGGAAAACACTGCCTTTTGCCATAAAAGCAACAACCAACTGCAGATCCAAAATCCAGCTATTACTAATGTCTGGTACATGTACATGTACATGTCAATGAAGTAATTCAACACTGGCATGTGAGAGCCTGTGTACTATGAGAAAGTGTAGCTTGATGGGACCGGCATGGTTTGAAGTGCTTGCAAATAGGCTGTGAAATGGAGGGCATGAACTCTGGGTTCAGCAAACGAGCCTCTGGGTACTACCAGGGATATACGTGTTTGAACTCAGGACCCTCATATCTAAGACAAACTACAGCAGAAACACATTGCAGAATGACTTGCATCTTAGAGTCACCATTCTGAAAGTTCTTAATCTGGTCATTAGTCTGGTTACTTTTTAAGGTATTCCTTTAGTGCTTTCTAAACTTCAGGCTTTGAAGCACTGATTTTGAATAGGTTCAGTAAAAATCAAAATTGAAATTGAGGTATTAAGGTGAAAGACATAGCTATTATAACTGGAAAAGAAAGTCAATTTAACATTTATTGTAATTTGACAAGGAAACAAAAAAAGAATTTACTTTGAAATTGTATGGTTTGAATTTAGTAAAGATACCCCAAACACAAAAAGCTCCATACACATGTACTCGTTCATCTATATGCATAATAATTTGATATTTTGAAAATGCCTCCAGCAAACACAATGAATCACACACTGTAGTAAGTTTCCAGATTGATACTAAGAAAATGCATCAAAGGAATGGTCCCATAAGATTTTATATAATTCTGATTGTATTACGATACAGTAACTCAAGTATGATACAATCACAATGACGTTCTATCTATGGCTATCTTAGAATTGCGTCCCTTTCTCCTTCTACCATGAAATTAAGTCCTTACGAACTCATATCAGTTTTACCGGAAATCACATACAGAAGGAAAGCACATCCAGATTATACCAGATATACATTGTACACTTTACTCCTGCAGTGGTCTACAAGGGTTTAAGCAAAGCTGTGGTGAACACATGGACACTGATTACACAAAGCTTCAGCCGATCTTAACCCAATTTCCCCATCTGAAATCAATAAAATCTATATCCACTTAGCAAGCACTGAACTAGGTCAGACATACGAGAATTTCAGGTAAAGTTTTTCTGGAAAATTCCTCCTTCAAGTTCATAATAAGAATGCTGTTGAAAATTCTCATGAGAGTCCGGGAGCTTAATTGAATATGATAACCAAGAGACACCTATCTCGCTCGAAGCAGAGTTTGAATAATGTGCCAAGACAAGTAAATTAGATCTGCCCTGTGAAGCTTATACAGTTGCCCACATGCATTAAAGTGTGTGCCAAGACTGATTATACAAATTCGGAAGCTATAGTGAGTTTGTGTACTCTCATGAGTACACACAATTGTCATCTCTCATTAACTTTTCTTCTTCTTTTACACCTGATCTTAACGTTTGTCTTTTTTACAAAGTCCAACCCTCTATTCCCACCTGTGTGTCCCAGGAGCCAGTATAACACATGATCGACATATGTTCCATGAATATTTGATGACTTCTTTTACTCTTTTGTATACCCGATACTTGCCCCTTTGGAACTCTATCTCATTGTCCTGCCCAGAGCTAAAATTCCAAACAAATTGACAAAGGCAGCTTGTGGCATGCCTATTGTAATACGTGGAGCCAAGTCTTCCATCAATTCTACACCTATCTGATGTATATAATCTCATTCCCCTAAGCCTCAGCACATACTAACAAAGAGGATCCTTTAATACTAATAGATGCACACTATGAAATGCCGATCTTTGAAATGTGTAAAATCCTGTTATGGATTGATGCATCAGATTCTTCTTCGTTTTTTATGATTGCTCATAGTTGCTTAGATTGCTCAAAGATAGCAGCCCTTGCTGGCTTCAACACAAATTCACAAAGATTAAGTTCATATCTATCAATTCTAAGGCTTCAGTAGGTCCATTGTTGGTTCTCAAAGTTAGAAAATATCGGATAATCAACATGGAAGCTGAGCCTTGGGGGAAGTCTGTGCCTAATGGCGCGAGCAGTTTTCAACAAGAGATTTCCAATAGTCAGAATGATCATAGTATTTTTCCTCACAACCATCTGTTTTCATAGCTGTTTTCAATACTAATTTTAAGAGCTATGAAAATAAAACAGTGCAACCTAACATGATGTGTCTTTAGATGCCTACAGCATGATTTGATGTGTTTGTAAGTGCTCAAACCCAGGTGCAGCTGCCCGTGTACAGGGATGTGATCTATGATGCTGTGTCTCAGCTGGATACACCTGACCTACAGGACCTGTTCAACTTACCACTGCTGCGATAGAGACAACATCATCAAATATTTACGACTATGGTTATCACATAATAGGATAGGACTGATCACCCAATACAGATAGGATCCAAAGGGATACAAAGAGAACATGTAGTGTAATACTCAGTCCTTACAAAAGATAAATGCTTAAGATTTAAACAAAATGCTTTGCTCATTTCTAGAAAATGTACATGGTATTGTACAATGAATTGCACGAATCATAAAAAGGCTATATTTTATGATTTGTGTTTACTATTAGTTATTAAGAGATGTACTAAGCATACATACATGTGTTTTCAAAAGATTTTTTTTTGTTGACTTGTCTAATATTTAAAATTTGTTTTGAAATGAATGGCAAATGCCTACAAGAAAGTTTTTATATTAAATCCTTGCCATGGTTATATAGCTCATAAGAACCGCAAAACATTGTGGCTAGTGGCTACTGTATACATATAGCAGATAAGTCTTCAAGCCTTAGGCTGAATGTCTCAGATCTACACTTAGCAATCTTACAAAGCTGTAGATAGCTCATATTCCGAATAAGGTAGACTTCCTAGGAAAAGTCTAATATATATCTTACTGCTATAACTATACATCTCACATCCTAAGGATCAGCTTCGGTGGGTAAAATATGATGTTCTTTCATACCTTTTCATATAGAGAAGCCACAAAATGTGCAGAAACATAAATATTGCTGAGTCCGTAGACAGGTCTGTATTTAAAATTCCTATCAGTCATACTGTAGCGATGTACGCTCCTAGCCCAAGAGAAAAAGACCTACACATAGAAAATAAATTAGATCTATGGTCCTGAAAAATTTATCAGTTTTATAATGATTTTACCTATAAAATGAATTAGATTACAATTAATTTTGACCTGACTGACACCATTTGATGGTCAATTCTATATATTTTCTTCTATATGTACAATGTGGTTCAATTAAAAGTAGTGAAATCAACCAAAACTGACAGAATTTAAGGAATCTTATATAATTACATTCTGAATTGTGGCTCATTATAGATTATAAGTGAAGAAGAAAGACTAGAGGACAATTAAATGTCAAAGTCATAATTAGTAACAATAACAATTTTCTGCAGTGTTCAAGGACGTCCCCACTCAAGATCTTCAGCACATCCCCTTAAAGACAGCATTAAGTCGTCTACTCACCCAGAAAACATCCCGTAGGAAGAAACGGCTTCAAAACCTTAGTCACAACCTGCCCCATGTTGTCAACCTCTCAGTACAGTTTCCCTCTCCAACAACTAACCAAGCCAAACAAGTTGACAGTAGAGCGAAGAAACCTCTCAATTTAGTGTGAGTAAAGACAGACTCCGGCTTGACACCGCTCTCACTACTAGCAGATTGAGTTCTGAAGGCAACTGGTGTTGTGTGTGTGAGGAGGTGACTTGATGTACCATGTATGTGGAGTAAGGGTGTAAACAGTGCGCCAGGGTCCCAGCCTGGCTGCTGATTGGCTGTTGGCTATCGCCAAGGCAACATGATGGAATACCATCACGAGGCAGGAGGGATATGACTGGGGGCTTTGGTTGATAACATTTAATGATCTGGATCAGTCCATTATGGAACCTCTCAAAGGGGGATTTCATAAATCTATGTTCTAATTTAGCAATCTTGCATACAATTGTGACTGCTTCTTTTAATAATAATTTAAACTTAAACTGTTTTGCTCTGTTTGTTTGAACACAAAAAGGTTTAAAATATTTGAAGTTGTATTGTATTTACTGTATGATAACATTGGCTTAACATTTGCTACAACTGTACCCATCCCTGTTAGCAAAGTTGACCTGTCCATTCAGCTTCAAATACAGTCTTGTTCCTATATTAAGAACCATACAGTAAGTTTCCAGAAAAGACAGTGGAAAAGAACAGCTAGGCTGGTTGACGCAAACACTGCTATTCAGGGCTGTAATGGGTAGGGCTAATGATCCAGCTAAGTTGGGCTGGCTGCTATAAGCATGATTCAATCAGGCTAAAAAAATAGCCGGAGGCAAAGTTTTTATCAATCGGACATTGACCGCATTCCTGGAGGATAAATACAGAACAACTGTAAGGTCAGGGGTCAATGTCACTTCTGGCACTGACCTTGAGATACTGTATCTTTGGCAGTGGATGACTTTGAACTTCCCTTTTTTTAATAGAGGGTTTTCGTTTCTTCCCACTTTGACATGACTTCAGTACATTTTAGCAGTTAAAATCTATTCAGATTCTGGTCAGTTGTTTTCTCGTTAGTAATAGTAAAAATATTAGTTTGGCATTGACCTAACTGATCAGCATCTAATTTTCAAATTGAAAACATTTTTTTGGACATAACACCTATATAAAGGTTACACTTGTCTTCAGTCTCATTTTCAGTGATACTAGTAAATGATAGTGTAACTATGCTATCTGAAACGACTGACTCTTCAGAGTATATATCCGGTTGCTCGATTTATTTTATATAACGTGATATTTTATCAGCTTAAAATGCCATCTCCAGAAATTACATCTGCCCTTGTAAACTGATCCAGGGCAAGGCCGGAAAAAATAGCCAGCATCCACTTGGAATTGCGTCATGGGGATTACTGTAAGGTCAATGCCTTAACCTTGTTGTCACGATCAGTCTAACATTGGATGTCTGCCTGTATATGTAGTGAAGTCACTGATAACCCTTTCCAACAGAGGCTGCAACCACTGAGCAACCATATATTTGACAGATCACTCAAGAAATTTTATAAACAAAGAACAAATTTATATAGTACTGTTAGAGTTTAAACCTTAGTTCCAACATGAAAAACACATATTAAACTTTCATTCAAAGAACAATCTTTTCATGTGTTTTGCTGGCTTTTAAATCAAACTTTTACATCGTGCATCATATTCCAATTATGAAATCAAGGGTCAAACAAACCCATTTTCGGTCGCTCAAAGATCGCCGCCGTCTAGTCTAGTGGAAAAAGGGCCTATTGGAATTTTGCCAGCAAGAGAGAACCTGATCTTTCCACTGCAGAGCTGTGTGGTATGTAGTGCATTGCTACACGTTCTGTCCGTCACGTTTGGCAAGTGGAAATTTCTGGTATGGACGTAACGGCGGTCTTCAATCAACGCTGACCGGTGTCACTGGCACGTCAAATAGCCTGCTGACAATTTGTCATCATTCAAACCTTGCAATATACACTGGGGCTTCTTACATGTAGGTTCAATGTCTATGCATGTTTATATACATGGCAGCTACCTAAATCTTTGATTATAGTTTGACAATCTTACGCTGTTACAGTCTTTTCAGTACAACTTGTACTTGATGAAGTCCTAACTTCAGAAGTGTCAGGCAATTGCAAATTTGCATACGTTAGAGATATTAGAAATAGAATCCTCACAGCAGGACACTAATTTATTCTAACTGGCCCCGATATGTGTGGGGTTGAACAAAATGTCATTGAACTGTTATAGCTCTCTCGAAGGACAAAGATAGACACTGTTCGTGTTTATCTGCAACATTTTGTTTTGGAACCCTCTCTGTCAGCGAATGACTTCCACTGGCTAAATCTAGCTGTGACTGGATCTAACTGGTTAACCACCATAGTCTACCCATAGGGATATAACATGGGTGATTGTTATTAAGAGAGGGCTAGGGACTTGAGACAAAGTGGGAGTTCACACCATTCAAATGCAAAATTCTTCCCTATCTATTACCTACAAGTACAGTATATCAGTAGCTTCATTGACTTCCATTAGTAAATTGCATTTTTTTTTCCAGAATGATTTTTTTTTGTTCAATAAAAATACAAGTATATCAGCTAGATGTTCGGTTACCCAACTACATTTGTATAGCTATGAGTACAGCAGTATTACTCTTGTACTAACTGATAAAGAAAAAATAGCATGTACATTGTACATGTACTAATACACCCCTTGCCCTTGAAGTTGCATGGATATATGTGTCAATACATGGTTTGCCAAAGCTCTCCATCACACTGACATAAGACACAGACACAGCTGAAACCAGTCACGTACAGAGTATAAGATCATCACGTCGGCATCTTTAGTAAAGTGTGAAGAAAACATTGGTCAGCACGGCAGACTTATTTTTCCATCCAAGTCGGAGACTGTGTGGCTACAACACGAGCCAAAGTAGACTAGCTCCAGGCCCAAATATGAGCAGGAATCCAGCTAACATTAGTCATGAGGCATGTAGGGACTTGGCAGCTTCACTGCATTGCCATAAGAGGTTATCAGTATAATAAATCAGGTTTGTGAGAGCCCGTGAGGGCTATTTGTCAGTACAAAATAGACCCATCAGTGTAGAGTCATTTTAATTCCTTACTAGTAGCAGGAAGGCAAAGGGGTAGTATGTGGCCATGCACATGACCCAGTGATATATATATATATATATATATATATGCTCTGTTGTTGTGAACTCAATGGTAACTCCATTTACTTTGTATGGAAGGCATTATAGTTTTCAACTGTATCATGCTACAAAACATTGCTGTTTCACAAAGCCAAGAAGGCAAGTGCTAGTAGCAAGGAAAATGTATTAATTTTTATTGTATCTAACTTGTCATTGAACATGGCTGTAAATGATATTTCTGAGTTATCAAGTTTTTTTTATTTTAGATTTCAATGGCTGGGATTGAAGCATTTAAAAATCCCTTTCATTGATGACGTATCTAAAATACAAATGATTTGCAACAGGTACTTAAACTGTACTTTAGTTATTAGAATCTTGAAGAATAAACATCTACATACACATAAATTAGATTTTCTCACATACAAAATGTACATATCTGTATGGATTCCTGGTAGAAAATTTATGTTCTAAATTTGCATTTGCTACATGAATTACTGTAATTTACATGTATCAAATTTTGACCTGTAACTCCCTTTTCCTTATGTAGTGCTGTCACTACCAAAATGCAGTCGTATGTACTCCCTAGACCTGAGATCTGCCTGTCGTATGGGCTCTGGTACCCTATACTGACAGCAGGCATATACGAGTTTCACTGCCGTATCCAGCGTTACTCTGTGTCCAACAGATACATACACAGGTGACGTAATCCCGTCCTTACTAAGCAGCGCTCTACCGTAAACCTTCCCGGATGTTCCTACAACCAGAAACGAATCTCCGCCTTTCTTCAACTGTTCAGCCGAAACGTTTTTGTGCTTTTCCTTGGTCATCCCGTCAAACCCAGTGAAGGGGTTTTTGGCGACACCTACAGTTGGGAGATCAGTGAGGACACCAAGATGGCAGGCTATCCCAAATCCTGATGGGTGCAGCTTTCCATTCCCGTCGACTAGTAAGACCTGTGGCATGTATTCTGAAGCCGATTGTTGCAGCCTATCAACCATCTGAACGTGGAAACCCACTTCACGTGCACATAAGAAGCCAGGTACGTATGGTGCTGTCACCTGTACAGGTGTACAATCCGAGTACACCACCTCAAGGTCAGGGTAAGACATCACAACGAGGGAAGCACAAGCCTTCTCTGGGTCATCTTTAGCATAGCTGAGATCCAGACCAGCTACGTACTTCAGCCCATAGAATGGAGTGGTATCGTCTGAAGTTTGCTGCCATTCTTCAGTATCTTGTTCCAACAGTTTTTCCTTTAGTGTGACTTGCTCCTTGCGCCACTGTTCTTTCATACGCTCGGTAAAGGTTAGTATGCCGAGATACCTGCGGATATCGGTGAAAACCACGCCAACGGTCGACACAGAGCGATTGAAAACAGTACCACCGAGCCATCCCAGGTGGAACATGCTGACCATGCTTTGTGGGGTCGTCCAACGGAAGAAACTTGATGCATGCAGCTGATCGGAGAGTTGTTGTTGGCTGCCTGCAGTTCTGCACACAACAGAAAGAGGGCATTTCACTCACAAGCTTGAGATCCACAATGAACATCCTGTATGTAGCACATCCAGCCAAGATTTGCCATGCGTTTTCCAGTTATACATGTAACTTGCGTAAGCATATATTAGGCACATGCTTCCTGTAGTGGTATTAAAGACTGTCAAATGCAGAAAATTACTGGATGATGTTGTTGATTATCCTTTGTTGAATTTCCCATTCTTGGTTAAAAATCACTGTTGATTATTGATATCGAGACTGATGTCGTGATGATCCAAGATCCTGTTACATGCATGTGTCAATCTGCTTTGCCCTAGTTGCTCCACAAAAGTCACAAAAATTATACATTTTTGTACTAGGAAACAGCTAGGTAATTAGTTAGCAAAAAGCTGGAGTAGTTCACAACTATTTTGATTGTTGTTTTTACCTACATGTACTTATACCAGTGCATGTGTGTACAATGAGGGGTGTGGTTAGTGTATTTAGTACATGAAGGAAAGGAAAGGAAAAAAGGAAAGGAAAAAAGAGAAGGCCATTTGTATTTAGTGACTATTCGTGCCTGTGCACAGATTTTGCTGACCACAGGTCAGCATAACTATTAATAACTTTCCTAGAACACTGACAGCACAATGTGTCTGATGATTTGACTTTTATCCCCTATTTCTACTTCCCTTGCGAACCTCATAACGATTACCAAAAGAAGATAGTATTGCCAGGTCTTATCTATATTAAACTACAGAACAAGCTTAGACATCGCCGATGATGATGAAATATGATGAAAGACTGTTATCTTGGACTTCCGCATGTGAATTTCCAGTCGTTTCGTCCTATTTTTCACCGCACTGTGGAAGAAAATGGATCTAACCTTTATCCCTAAATGATCCTTGTAAATTTACGTATCGAAATACCACCTCGTGTACAACTAGACTGGTTGAACTTGGCCGTGATATAAAGAAATGTAAGAGAAACTTCTGTACCTGACAATCCTGGGAGGGGGGCGTTCTGGAATGCTATCCCACTATGCATTACGTGCGGCACATACCACTAAAACCAAGGGGCGTTCAAGTTTCATATTTTTATGTTATTGGCCAAAATACATATAACGTACATTTTGATAGTACCGCTGTCTATTATGAGACTTACAATATAAATTTTGCGTATTTGAAGTATACAAATATTGTTTTTTTCTTCATAGATACAAAAAATGAAATTGTCCCCTTGCTTCATAATGAAACCACCTGTTAACCCGGGGTCAGCTCAGGGTAGCAACAGGTTGCTACAACAACTATCATGGCGGGAGGGGAGCAAGAAGCTCTACAGGTGTGTCTTCGGTTTCTTCCTTAAAGGAACTCTTCTTAGCGACCAAGAGGGTTCTCAGTGATTTCAAGCATGTCAGAGAAAGTTGTGGCATCAAAGGTTGTTTTGACAGATTCCTAGATTGTGTTGTCTGGTGGGAAAAAGTTTGTCAAACTGTTTGTGAAACTTGACACTTGTTGCGTCTGTGGACTATTGTGAGTGTACAATTGAGTTTGACACTTAATAACAAGATGCTTCATGATTTCCCCTTTTCGAAGTCTTCCAGGTTCCTACATTTTCTACAATTAGTAAGCATTTTGTCTCTTTAATAAAGTAATTGCCTACTACACTAAATCAGTAAATGTATTCCTATAGTTGCAATCGTTCAGTGGTAAGTTTCCAAAGTTTGTTTTCTTAACATTTTGGTGCAATTCTATCAGAGCGCTCTTTATGATAAAGATCGTGCAATATGGCATATGATCTACAACTAACTCCAGATAGTAGATGCCTACCTTGCAATTTTTGTTGGAACGTTGAAGCTGTAGAATAATAGTTAGTTACATGCTCAACTGAGTACAAACTACATGTAATTGACTTAGTATTTCCTTTGTCCACAGATAATAGAGGCCCAGCTTGAAGAGAGAGGGATAAGGAAAGACATTGATGTCACACTGCTCTACCTGTCTGACAGGTGAGATGAGAAGCTCATAACGTTTCTAGAATATTAATGAATTAATAAACATGAAATACAGTCTCAATGCTCAGCATATTATTTGCACAGGTATTAAAGGCAAGGTGTTAAGTGATTTGGAACTGAAGGTACTTAAGGTACAATTAACCAGTATGTTTTGTTCTCTTACAGAAATCTTAAGGAGGTTTGTGACTTGGGAAGATTCAAGATCCTGAGGTATCTATGGCTCAATGGCAACAAGGTGAGAATAAAAACCCTCCCCCAGTAACTCATGATCAACCTCAAAACTTTTCTTTTGATCAAAAACATACAAAGTTAGGGTAAAGTATGATGTTACATGTATTTGAAATACCTTAATTTTGAACTTTCTTTAGTAGAAGTGCTCTTATGTGTAACAAATATTGGAACATGACAGAACTAAGAGGTGTCTTTGGACTTCTTTGTAACATATATCCATGGAATGCTTTATTTTTCATTAGCTGCGGAGAATTGACTGTATCCTGAACAACTTCCGACTGTCAGAGTTGTACCTGGAAAACAATGAGCTGATTGACATCAGTGGAGCCCTGGGACACCTCACCTGTCTACAGGTACAGTTTGTATTGTCTCACCTGTTCTTGTGCTCCAAGTGTGGCCGGAATGACTGCCATACAAATATAGGGCTCGTACGCCCCACTAGAGGCTGTACACAGCCACAACACCAGACCTTGTTACTACACCTGTGTTCTAGAAGTGTGGCACCTTATATACCAACAATTATTATTATTTCACATTTGTTCCAGAACACCATTATGTGTTACTAATTTGTTTTACCATATAATAACACTGTAGGCTTACTTTCATTTTGAAAGATGATGTTCAAAGAACATGCAATAATCAAATTCTTATACATGGGAACCATTTTGCTAAAAATACTAGGAAACTCTATTAATACTGTCATCTGTCTGTGTTTTTTTTTCAGTACTACTTCAATGGATTCTGAAGTAAGAAATCTAGTGTAGTCATATATAGAAGAGGCAATGGCTATTATTGAATTTGGGCTGGTGACAGGTGTCAGAGGTTCCTTGTCCTCATTGTCCGCTGAACTTATATTCATAATGTGTTGTATCATATATCCTCAGGTGTTGATGTTACATAACAACCAGCTGACTAAACTGGAGGAGGTGGTGAGAGAACTCAGACCCATGCAGGCACTCAGGGTGCTCAGTAAGTTGGAAACTTCTGGATTTTCCTCCATACTTTATACTAGTACATATGGCGTTCTAGAACGTCACACAATGTGCTTTGGAAGTGTTTTGTTTGTTTGTTTTGTCCAAGAACATCACATGGATCTTACATTGCCATGGATTTTATTCTGGAACATAGCTGTCAAATACTTGTTAATCTGGAAGCCAATTTTGACACATTTATTCAGTTACAGTTACTGTTCTAGAACTCTCCATTGTGCAAAGTTGTTTTTTGGGCAGTAGTGACTTAAAAATTTATGTTTGGAAATAGCAATAACTTGATTGAGTTTTTTCACTTAACTATCTAATATTCCTCCAGATCTGTTCAACAACCCCCTTGCCCAGGAGAATGAGTACAGGTCTTATGTTATCCACCATCTCCCTTCTGTGGAGCTGCTGGACAGACAAGGTAGGATCATATGTTGTGTACTTTAAGATATCACACCTTTTTACTTTTCCTCTTTTTAGTAGCTTTGTATATTGAAACTGCTAGGTTTCTTGCTATTGTGGAGGGGACTAAAAGAAACCAGACAGCTTCAAAAGACAAATTACATGTAGTAGTCCTTAAAGTCAATGTTTGAGATCTGAAAGTTTTGAAAGCTGATAGGATTACACGTATATGATTTTTATCTTTAGATGAAAATATAAAGTTAGTAAATGTAAGTTTAGATGAAATTATTAACTCTAAACATTCTGAACTACTGAACACAATTAAGACCTGACAGAATCCGCTGAGTTTTTCTCTATCTCCTTGCCAACAGAAGTGCTCCAGTCAGAGCGTGACCGTGCCTGGAGGATGTATGAACAGGAGCAGTACTTGTTACGGGAAACCATCGCCTTTGGGCGCCGGGCAGAGGGACTTCCCCCCAGGACCAGGCCACAGGACAGACACAAACGACCATCAACTATACCTGGTAACAGCCTTTTCTTACAATAAAGTAGAGGCAGTTACTGCTGTATACACTGTACTAGTTCATTTCTCAAGCTTATCAAGCATTATTACCTCCGGGTAGGGATGTATCCCTGCGCAGACGGGTTTTGTGGGAGACGAAGCTTTTTACGTTCGCAGCCGTTTCTCACGTTTGGGTGGACGGATATGTCTGGGACTTGGTATACGTTTTGCTATTGTGCTGTAGGTGGTGCACGTTGTTTTGCTTTTTCAGTATGTGTGTTTTAGTGCGTGAAAATGATGCGTTTTGACAGCGTATGGACTGACCCCTTTGAGTGTGAAAGTGGTTTTGTCTTTTGATTTTTTTTGTTTTGTTAAGGACTAACTAAAGAAAACTTTACAGGGCTGACCATCTAGGTAGCCACCCTATTGAATCAGGAAGAACCGTCAACTATACATGTAACTGGTAACATCCTTTTCCTACAATGAATTAGATGCAGTTATTACATTTCGAATGAAGCCTTATATATCCCTAAGTCCTACAGTGCCCAACAACTGTTGAGTTGCACATGCAGTATCATCCATATAGCAAGCTGTGTAGGTACAATTTGGGGGTATTTCTCGTGCACCGCATCACACCACAGCAAAACACAATGAATGCAGATTACGTAACTATGCCACCGCAGGCCAAAAAAAAGTCAGGTGTCTAAGACATGCAATTATTGAAAAATATTGTGTAAAAAATGCCAGCAGGACAAGGGCTAACTTTATTAAGGACTGACAAAACTTTACAGTCAGAGCTTTGGGCTAACTTTGGCCTATTGTAACATGCAGACACTACCATAGTCCCCGACCCTTCAGACCAGGATGGGACAAGCTGGAGCTGGAACAGGGCGCAGAACAGTGAGAACAGTGTAGAAAAAACTTGAAAGAAAAAAATTTTGTGGATAGGCAGGCAGTCAGTAAATGTGGCTGGTTTCTTGCGTCTTCTACTGATTCAGCATACTTTTAGTCCAGTTTTCGTTGAATGTTTGGTCAACGTTGCAGATGAATTTTGCCTGTTGCGTACAATATATTTTCCAACATAGCATTTGGAAACTCTAGACAGGATGTTAACCTTACATAGGCAAATACGACCTTATATGAGATGTTCTGCTGAAGTGCTATATGTACAATACATGACGGGTTTGCACAGGTGCAGTACGTTCTGCCGATGTGCTGTGGTAATTAGTGTTTTGCTAATAGTAACACAAAGAATTTCTGCCTTACAGAAAAGGATGTTGTTGCCAACAACTTTGATGCGCCTCCCTATGAGAACCCTAACCACGCAGTGGCCCTACGCAGCGTGAGCCGTGCAGTCATGCAGTACTCCATGTTCGACTGGTCAAAAGTGCCAAAATCTGAGGAAAGGAGATTAGCAGAGGGGCCTCCCGGACTGCCACAGATTATGACCATCAGATTTAAATAAATAAAAAACTTTGGAAATAAGACACTAACCCCTGTATATTTGAAATCAGCATTTATGTACATTTGGATTTTGTAGATATGACCAAATGCAGTGAAATAGAGCAATGCGTATTAATGTCTTAGATACAAATGTATAATGTATGTAAAGCCATTTGTAATATATACAATGAAGCCAAGCCAAGAATATATAAATACTTAATATTGATACAAGTGCTGCTAAGTATCTTCTGTGCTGAATTTGTGAACTGGAATCATGAATACGATGTAATATTAACTCATGAGATTACTACTATCTGTTTGCCAAATGTAATAAGTAACATTCCATAAACTTGGGACCAGTTTAATTTTTTGTTTTGTTTCCTGGAGCAATAAAATTACTGATCACGAACATTGAATATGTTTAGTTACGATTATTGTCTGAATCTGTTTTTTCCTGATATTTCAATACTTCAGAATCAAATTATTAGCTGGCAAATATATCCAGGTCACTGTGTCATCATAGAAATTGGGCCACAGTCCAGTGGGCGAGAGCAGCCATTTAATAAACATTATGATTATGATTATAGCAAAACATGACCATCAGTGAAGAGACCACCTGAATCTATCTTCTTAAGTTTAATAAAATACTATCTTTAAAGTTCTTACTGAGCTAGTATTCAAAGCATGACTAGCATGTGGAAATAACTTATAATGGAAACACACAATACACACTCCGTACAGAAAGTAATTATCTGATAGACTGATTAAAATACCAGTGACATGTTTTAAATCACGCTATTTACAAAATGTTTAGAATCTTGATAGACACCAATTGTAGATAGACAATTGGACACTAACACCGCACTGGGAATAATGGTGTCACATTTCAAGAAAACAACAACAAAAGACATTTAGCGGTATCATAGCAATCTATCCAACACATAGTACATGTACGGGCAATATAATTCATTCCAATGAAGTAATTATAACAGCATGAAAACACCACCAGCAGTATAAAGATTATATTCTGCTGTAAGAGGGCCTGCAAGCCCTTTTTCGTGAGGCGTAATCAGGCCGTTTTAGACTTCGTAATTCGTAGGCAGCCTCCGCAAAAGTCAACGTAATTCGTAATTGGACATTAGCCGCAAATCGTAATGTCGTAATCAGCTCTGCAACTTTAACGTAATTTGTAATAGGCGGCGAAAATTTTGCGTAATTCGTTATCACTACCCCCCCTTGCAGGCCCTCTTGTAATATACCCTGTCAAATACAAAAACCTAAAGAATGTGCCTCAATGTGAGCAGCGACCTGAATTATATTTACTTTTGTTTAGTTTCTTTTTGTAGATGTAAAAACTAGTTTACACACTTCGGTTATTATTTCTGTATCTTGATTTTGTTTAATTAATCAATTATTTCATTGTTTAATTTTGATGTTTAATGTTTTGTCATGTATCATAGTTACCTTTGTTTGGGGTAGGCCCTTTAAAAAACCACCTAGGTTTCTGGCCTACCCCTCATATTCTCTTATTGTTATTGTTTGATTATGTATTACTAACTTTTTTTATACATGCAAATAATAAACAAAACAAATTACCAGGATACTTCGTACTATGCTACAAAAGCAGGCATTGTATAAGTCGGGTCATGCGATTGAGTTATGTGTTTATTGAGGTCAAAAGGTCATTAGTCTCCTAAACTTGTAAAGTTAACATGTCTTGTTACTAAGGTCTTGGACCACACTTAATTATATCTAAGGTCAGGGATATCACGGCCCAAATATGTATTACTGCGCCCTGTGTGTATGAGACATCTGATTCAGTAATTATGAGCTTGATGAATGAGGTCTCTACTCATAATATTATATTGTAAACAGTTCTTGTTTAAGTTAGCATGAAAGTAGCCTGGGTACCATCCTGGTTAGTTTACGTCCGCTCCCACAGTTGGTCGGTAGCGACTGTGGGAGCGGACGTAAACTAACCAGGATGGTACCCAGGCTAGCATGAAAGTTCATCTGAGTTGGTAAATTACATTATGAAAAACTTAAACTGTTCTGAGCAACTCAAAATTTGACTCACCAGAAATTTTCGACTGAATCACTCAGTCTTCCTCAGCTATCTGACCCAAATGCTGTGGACACATGATTTTTCCCACTTGTGACGTCAGCAAAGGGTCCTTCCTAGACACTCTAACAACAATCAACTAGGACATGTCCCTGCGGGTTAACATATACCGTAAGGCACTTCAACCATCGCTCAACCGGGATGGGGGGCGATATCGACTTCAGACAACCTTTGACCCTTTGCTGACGTCACACGTGGGAAAAATCACGTGTCCACTGTAAGCATTTGGGTCAGATAGCTGAGGAAGACTGAGTGTCATTCAGTCGAAAATTTCTGGTGAGTCAAATTTTGAGTTGGAGAACAGTTTAAGTTTTTCATCTTGTTTAAGTTGTTTATATCATATCCACAAGTGTTGTATTTAGTCAGGAGCCTTTAATCCATAATGCATCACACTGCACGATTGCGTAGTACAAATATTGTGAAACAGTTATCTATTATTACTACTGTTTGATTTATTACTATATATATCATGATATGTCAAATGTCTGGGATGATCTCGGACAGACCATGAAAGAATTTATTTCCCCCGGCATATCCCCGTTCGTTGTGTGATCATTTAATTACCTTCTATGTGCAAATAGAAACAGTTACTGTACAAACAAACAAACCCCGACACAAGTTAACCTCATTCCTGATTAAAATGATTTACCCTGCACTTTTGTCCTTAGAGTCTAGCATGAAGCACTCGATCCTTCTGATCAGTTCCTCAAACAGAGGTCCCTTCCACAGGTCATCATCCTGACTTCTGGCCATGTCGATGTAGACCAGCTGTGCAAAGGGGATGGCCATGGGCCCGGATACCGGCCATGTTGTCTTCTCGAGTATGACTGGAATGATAGGCTTCTTCAGGGTCCGTGCAAGCGCAACTTCGTCCTGGCAGTTTGGGGATTCGACGTAAGGGGGTGTCACGCAGCTGACAATGACCTTGACCACAAAAACCACAACATTAATTTGACCAGACACAGAGCACTATGCTTTGTTATGGCTATGACCAACAAGCTCTAACTGAGTTATATGCGGAATTTAATGGGTAGGTTGACAGCACTTGGGTTGGGAAAGATTGACAGGCAGAATGACTGTGAAAAGGTCTGACAGAGGAATTATGATGAACATGAAGGTCTAAGAAAATCTGTCTAAGAGAGCCATAGAAATATGGGGGAATTCAGGAAGCCGGCAAATGCATAAAAGTCTTCATGGAAGTCTGAAATCTCAGTGGGATTCTTGTTTTCAATTTTGCAAAGAAACGTGTCAAGCGAAGAAAAAAAGTTTCTACATTAGCTTTTGCTCTGCTATATCACCCAGTACCCAAACTTGTCAGTTCTCGTTACTATTCTGATGTTTACATATTGCTCATAAAAACGAGCACCGGTCGGCAGAACGTACTGCATGTGAAAAAAACAAACATTTTTCACCGTTGTCGTTGGATTTTTCCGACATTTTTCCGACAGTATTACTGTAACAGTGTGTATATATTTAGCAGTTAGTGTATTACATCCTGATACATTACTTTTTACTTGTACACTTTTTCCCAGTGCTGAGACTTCTGAGAAGCATGGGTCAGGCAGTGGGTGGACTTTGAATGACATTTTAACTGTTTACAGTAATGACCCATGTGCTCAGGGAGTGTGACTCGGACACGCGCAAGTGGTCTGGGCATAGTGGGATAAGGCCACACCAATTTAATTTCTTGGTTAACGGATTTGTCTAGAAAAATAATGGAGCGGGCGGGCGAAAAAAAAATAAAAATAAAAACAGGCCTAGGCATCCTATTATGGCCCAAACTGGTACGATAGGAGCCATGAAGTCAACACACCAGGCTGGTGCAAAATGTAAACAATGAATTTTGAACTTTTAATGATACTACTGCATTGAAAGATAGAATGACTGTAACAAGTAGTAAGAAAAGGACTGTTTTCAACTGTTCAGGGCAAAAGATGAGCATTTTGCAGTTGATTCTGAATTTTTATTTTTATTTGCAAATCAGAAAAAAATGAAGCGGCGAATCCGTTAACCAAGAAATTAAATTGGTGTGGCCTATAAAGAGTACTATAAAAACCTAATGCATGTACTCATGTAGCCGACGCGGCGAGGCAGTCTGAGTTCCAGTTTGAGAGTGAGAGAGAGAGAGAGAGAGAGAGAGAGAGAGAGAGAGATCAAATCGAATACAGTCATGCCACTCATAATGTTAGGCACTGTTTCTGGGTACGTACATGTACATCACCGCAACATCGGCGGCTATCTTATGAACTTGTAAGGGTCACCCATCAAAATCGAGGTCAAGTAGTAAGCAAAGCTACCACATCTTTGGTGTTGACCTTGACACACCCCTACATACAGACGGGTTGTTAACCTTATATGCACGAATGCGACCTTATATGAGACGTTCTACCGAAGTGCTATGCACAATACATTTACAGGTTTGGCGCAATTGTGCAGTACATTCTGCCGACGTGCTATGAAAACATACCTTGGCTTCCCTGATCCCCTTGTCCATCATCTGGTACAGACTGTCCCCTCCTCCCATCTGCTTGATGTCCATCCAGCAGCCGTAGCCTCGCTCCTGCAGGCGATCGTGCAGCAGCAGTACTCTGTCCTGGTGGTCCCACTGGTACGACAGGAAAACAGCATTCTCCTGCTGACAAAACAGTACCTTTTTAATTAGCCATGTCCGAGGCAACAAACACGGCATACTAACGGTCTTATATATCCAAGTTTACATGAATGAGAATTCATCAAAACCGGACCACTCTTTGATAACTTAGCGATGAAACAACGTGAGTTCGAGGGTGTGAAAAAGCGTGTGATGTTACGGCACTCCCCCTTATAATCTGAATTAGAATAGAAAGAAAAGGGTTCAATGCCAATGACAATTAGTCTTCAAGAAGCGTACCATGCCAATATTGATGATACCGATTTGAAATTATATCAATCAGTTTCTCGCTGGTTTCTTACCTTAGGGTATGTTGTCATGTCTGGGTACGTGGTGTGCCGTGAAGGGTACAGTTGTGCAGCTGTCTCTCTGGAGGAAGCCGTCATGCGCCATGGTGGGAAATTATTGGAGCTCGATGGTGGTACGTTCGTGGGTAACGGCTGTGCAGCTGTCTGTCTAGAGGAAGCCGTCTCTGCGGGCATGGTTGTCATGCGCCATGGTGGGAAATTACTGGAGCTCGATGGTGGTACGTTCGTGGGTAACGGCTGTGCAGCTGTCTCTCTGCGCATCATGCGACGTGGTGCCATGGTGTGCTGTGCAGCTGTGTTGGGGGAAGCTAAAACAGGTGGTACCTCTCCAAATACGACCCTCATCACCTCTATCAGACCAATTAGATCTGAGTTGGGCTGCAAATAAGTTAACAACATTATATTTTGATGCCACTAAAAGCAATAACAGTAATAAACTTAATGTACACAAATGTATCAAGAAATTTATAGATTTATCTGTTGATAATTTTATAACCTTTAAGATAGTACTGTGTTTCTCGTGTATTATTCCATCAGCACGTCCTGTCTCTTGATAAGGACTTACATGTTTCCACTCATGCAGATAGGGGAGGTAGATCCTTCCATTGTGGTCCACATGTTTGCCTGTGTTGATCACCATAGTGTCCGTGGGCACGACATAGCACAGGGGTGGGTTGAAAGGGTGGGTTTTCATCAAGAACATACATATTGGGATGTTGAATCTTGAACCTAATGTGGAGGAAAAGTAGCACACAATTCACTTTAAAGGCACCCAAAGTAACTTTAGGGTGCTGCAAAACTGGATTTTCAAAGTCAATTTTCTGATCATTCATTTGATATTATTAAGTGGAACTAAGTCTTTTTATCCTATAGCGTACTGTCATATACATGTATGTGAGGCAAAAATGTTATGTCACTGACGGAAAATGGTTGCTTGTTTTGTATCGTAGGCTGGTTCTTGCTCTTTATGGGCGGTACCCATAAAATAAAGAGGCACCTCACGTAGCTCATAATAATTTTGTTTTTGCTCAGTTTCCTCTTCTGCAGCCCCAAAACAAT